AGATACAAAAAGAGCCAAAAAACAGACAGAAGATATCAGAGACACCCATCAAGCAGAACACAGCAAACTCCGAGACCAATAAACACAGACCAAGACTCCCAACCAATCAGGATGAAGAAAAAACCATTCTGGCACAGCAATAGGCTGCCCCAAATTTAAATCTGAAACCACTGTAAAAGTCTGACCCACAGACGGACACAATACAGAAGCCTGATGATGGCAGATGAGATTCTGCTGAAACGTTGCTACAACTTTAAAAGAACTACAATGACGTGGGAAAATACCCGAACCAAGCCGAACACCATACATATATATATATATATATATATATATATGAAAAATGTGAAAATAATCTCCATAAAATATCAGCATCTAAATCTTTCAAAATTATATACACAGATTTGTATAGATGCAGGGTAAGGATATATCGTCATGAAAAAGTAAGTATGCCTATGGAAATTTTTGACATTTTAAATATGTTTCAACATATAGATATTTGATCTTCATGTCAATGATATTGATAAAGGAGATATGAGATTACAAATAGTATGCATCATTTGCCATGTTGTAATCCATTGTGTAATTTAAATAAAAGCATATGTAGATTTTGCATGCAAATGTAAGTACACTCCTATTATTTATTACTTATAAAATACCTCACATTAGAATCATGTGCGCCAAATCTGGGGCAAATGCTTAGCCCATCATCGGTGAAAATTTGGTAACTAGCCTTGTTGAAACTTCAGGTATGTATTCTGATTTGCTCTCTGCTGTTGAAATGTAAGGTATTGCCATATCTAGATCAAAAGAAGTCTCTGGGCATTCAGAAAGAACATTAGAGATACCTATGCAATTGGGGAGAGATTTAAAAATATTGCCAAACAAGTAGACACGAATCATTCCACTGTCTGGAAGATCATCGATGACAACAGCTGCCAACTTGTCCAGGCCAGGTCTGGACAAAGTTCCACCAAATGTAGTATGAGAGCAGAACACAAGATGCTGAAAGAATCCTAGAATTTCGTCAAGTAACCATCAGGTAGTTATTCTATTAACAGTATCAAAATGCTTGAATTAGTCATGGGAAAGCTGCACAAATTCAATCTAATAGGATAGATGTCAGGAAGAAAATTTGTTGTGTAGAAAGAATATCAGGGCAAGCTGCTCATGAATTTCTAGGCAAAGTCAAGATTTCTGGAACAATGTACTCTGGACAGATGAAGCAAAGAGGGTTTATTTGGCTATAGTACCATTATCACTTTTGATGAAAATCAAGGGCAGTATTTCACCAGATGAATGTGATACCAACTATAAAGCATGATATCATAGTACAGTTTGGGCTGCTTTGCTGCAATAGGACTTGGGCAGCACAACATCACAGTTTCTATTAGGAATTCTCCAGAGGGTGCTTGGGGATAAAGTGAGACCATCCGTCGGAAGACTGAAGCTCATCCCAAAGTTGAGCTTGGAATATGACAATGAAGTAAATATCACAGCAAATCATCCAAAGATTAGGTTAAAAATATAAAAGGAAGGGTTCTGGAATGGCCAAGTCAAAGTCTGGATTGAAATCCCACTGAGATGCTGTGGATGAATTTAACATCAGCTGTGCATACAAAAGTCCCACAAATATAATTGGGGGGTGGGGAATCTGAATGGAGAAATGGGAAAGATTTCTTCCTGCTCAATATCAGAGACTGGTAGACAGTTATAAAAAAATCTATTTATGGTTGTTTTTGTAAAAGATGTTACCTGTTATTAGAAAGAAAGATGTACTTCCTTTTCCCACAGAAGGAAATACCACATTTGTTAATTTTTTGTTCAATAAATGACTACAAAATCAATTTTTCATATTCTTGTTCAGTGATATCACCTTTATCTTTATAAACTGCTCGAATGAAGATAAAATGCTATGTGCATATATGTTAAAAAAGACTTTAACATAGTGAAAAAGTACTTTTTTGCACAACTATATATAGAGATTTTGCACTACTGAACTTGAACTGTACTATTCATGTGGCTGGAAACAGAGATTCAAGGCATAGGCAAACAATGCTATTTAAACTTTACATATGTAATTTATAACATTTGAAACAGACAAAGAATTCCTCTTAAGAATAGACAGATATATTTGCGCAGATCTAGAGCCTACAATTATTAATTAAAACATCTCCCAGACTACTTATATTACAGCTGCAACATTTTAGACTGAGAAAATAAAATTATACGAAGAAAAAAGATATACCTTTAAGTACATAATAAAACATATATTTCACCTAATTCATTTTTAATTTCAATGGATGGACCCTGCAATGTACCATAAAGTGCGCAAATTTTGTTGTGGGTCTATTGATGTCAAATAAAAAGGTTATGTATTTTAATTTTCACCTTTAGATGTAGTGTCTTTTCTAAGTTTGAAATCTTTCCTTCAGCTATTTTGAGCTTCCTTAGTTCTTCTGACTCTTTCAAAAAGCTCTTTGGGGACAGAGACCTTGAACGTTTCACAGGTGGTTTCTGGAGAATAAAACAAGGACATGGTTGAAGTGGTTGGAACGCTGGATTATGAAAGACATGCAAAATTAAAGAACAAGTAATTTTGAATACTAATAATGAATTATAAAAAAAATCCTGCATGGTATACCAGAGAAATAACAAGCAGAATTACCACAGCGTTACCACTAAAGGTTTCTCTGTGACTCGTTAATGAGAATATTCATTTACATTTACATTGTTTCTTTCAGAATAATGATGTCCCATTAGGGAAGACTAAAGGGTTATAGTCTCAGAAATGCAAGAAATCTCATTACAAAGGAGGGGATAGAGGCTGATCTAATTGCTCTATAAGGGTCCAAGGTTACACTTGATAGGACAACCAGAAACAAGAGGGAAAGAGTTTTTTCCCTCTGAAATAGTTTAACACACTGTGAAGTTGAAGGAACAATATGCTTGAGGAATATAAATAAAACAGACAGTAGATCTTATACCATAATGACCATATGGTCATTAAATATAATATGCCTAACTAGAGACAAGAATATGTGTTTATATTATGTGCAGCTTCATGTAGCAATCTGGAGAAAGGATGTGTGAAACTAGCACTTAAACTGGGCAACCTTCTTGCTTGTACTATGTCAAATGTTTTTATGTAAAAAAAAAAAAATATACAGATTAGTTTTACTGAATTTCAGTAACTGTGATTAGTATATGGAGCAACATTTTAATCATAATACTAATCTTAAAGTTTTAATGATTTAATAAAATTGCGCAAAATATGAAGTGACATTTTGTCCATGGATTTTTTTTTTAGTTAATAATAATTTTAAAAAAAAGAATTTACTTTCTTCCAAAAGTCATTACAGTTGTTTTTTTGAATAAAAGAAAAAAAAAAAACTGAGATTGTTTAGCTTTTAATTCTGAATAGAAAAAAGGCAGAAAGTACAAACTTTTGCCCATGACAGAGATTCAGTTTTAAAATATGTTTTCTTTGAAACATTTCATGAGTACAATTTAAAGAAAAGAGGCTAATTTATTTTATTTATTAAAATAAATCACATTATGAGTCAAAGTACACAGGAATAAGAATTCCCAATATATATATTAAAAACAAAGTAAATCTGCCACATCACACCTCGATGACACGTTTGTGTCTTTGAGGGAAGAAAACAGACACAATATAGGCAGATTTACGCAGCAAAGCCCCCCTCCAGATATGTTGGACCCATAAGCACCATGGAACATAAAGGAACATATTTGGCAGGCAATAGATTGAGGAATACTTATATAAGTATTAGATATAATTCCCAGTAAATATATCCTGATAATGATGTGCAAGTTAAGAATCTGGAAGTGAAGATGGGAATGTTTGATCAGAAAAATATTGAGATTGGATTTGAGTAAGAGGAAATGTTATTCTTGTCAGGCTACAAGAATGATCTGCGAAAAGGTGATATATTGGATGTACAAAGGAAAGATGATGTTTCCATAATTAACATAGATGTAATGGTTTGTGACAAAAATCTTGAGAGATGGGATGAAGAAATGCTGCCTAGGAAACTGTCAGTTAAGAGAAGAGGTAGCCCTTGGTTTCTGCATAATGGAAAGCAAAAGACACTCAAATAGGACTTTCCCCAGCTTTTCAGGCTGTTAAGGAGATTTGAATTTTCAGACTTGCAAGATTATATTTATGAAGTCTTACAATAAAATAGAATTAGTTCCCCTAGCCATGTTTCCTATTTAGTTTACCTGAAAAGGCCGACAAACAAATAACAAAACAGAAGAGTGACTTGAATGATCTTCCTATATTAATTTACAAAGGAGACCTGTTAAAAGTTTTGAAAGACTTGCTGATTAGGGAGAATGAAAAAATGAAAAGAAATCAAGTTCTTTACGGAATATTACTTGAAGAGTTTAAAAACCAATATTGCTAAAAATAAAAAGAAGGTAAAGTTGGTTTATTTGATCAAGGTTAAAATAGTTATCTTACTGTTATACTGCTTATACTGTTACTTACTTCTATGTTTTTTTATATAATCCTTAATGGACTTTTGCTGACCAGGAGTGAAAGACAAAGTTTTAAGGATTTGTTTATAGATAAAAATGAGATATAGGATGATATAGTTTGTTTGTTGTATTTTAAGATACGGTGGAAACTTATTAAAATGGTCTATACTTCTTGTGACTAAGGGTGAAGTTCTTTCTTTCTTTCTTTCTTTCTTTCTTTCTTTCTTTCTTTCTTTCTCTTTCCTTTCCTTCCTTTTCTTTCTGTTGCTATGTTCTTTTTTCCTGCAATCTGTATCTTGTATTTTTGTCATTTATATTAATTGTTATCTGTATAATTATAGTGCTTAATAAAATCATTTTAACACAAGAAGTAAAGGAATAATTAGTCTTAGCCTTTGCCTAGATATGAAGGAGAGGAGTTTTTTTTGTCTATGCACCAAGGAAATAGAGACTAGTTATTACCTTGGGGGGAGGGGATTTCACACACACCCCCCCCAAATTCAGGCTTTTAATGCTATCCATTTCATTTCAAAAGCAGTGTGGCACAGTTATACAGAAAAGAAGTGCCTGAGAAAGAGAAGGAGTTATAATATTTTTAATAGTTAAAAGGAGGACTGCACAAGAGCACCTTGGATGCCAGTAATGTTACTACTTGTGCACATGAACAAAAGAACCACTTTCTTTTGCATACAGAACACTAGAGTGACCCTTTCCAGTATTCATCTCCATGAAGAGAAAGATAATAGGGATAGATAAAGCTTTGTGGGACAAGAAAGTCACATTTGAATCTCTACAGACTGGATTTGAAGTCCTCCTAGGTCACATTCGGCTCATAAGTTTCAGACTTTTATTATCCATAGTTGTTATTATTATTCATTACATTTTATATTACCCAATTCCCATAGATTCTACATGATCTACATGAGTATCAGGAGTTCTATTATTATGTAATTGCACTGCAGAACAATTTTTCCAAGCTGATTTACTATACAGAAATGTCACTTTATAAAATGGCACCAACATATAGGAATATCTATAACAAATTTGGAATTTACAAATGCCCATGTAAGAGTAGATAGATAGATACATCAAGTACAAATTCTGAAGCACTTAATAAGTAATTGTTTTATTTTTATCTATCTTGAAATTGAAATTTTAGGTGATCTAACCTTACCTCAAACTGTTAGGGCTGCTGCTTGCATTTTATTTTATTTATTTACTTGCTGCTTATGTCAATGTTCTTGGGTGATTTACAAACATGAAGATACCAAATTCCAAATCAATTAAATGATGGGTGTCAATCTCAAGGCCTGTGGGCTGGACCAAGCCCACAGGTTGTTTAGATCTGGCCCGCAGGGCCACCCTGGAAACAGCGAAGGACTGGCCCATGGTGCCTCTGCCAGCGAAAATGGAGCTTGAGAGGGCCACCCACACCCCTCCCAAGCTCCATTTTCGCTGGCAGAGGGTTGCAGGAGGCCGTCGCAATTGAAAATGGAGCTCAGGACCCAGTTTTCTCTGGCAGAGTGCTCGGGCCACTACAGGCGCCCCAACACGAGTGACATTGAGCTGGCCATGCCCACCCTGGCCATGCCCACCCCATCCCCCCAAGGTCAAACACAACCCTGATGAAATAGAGTTTGACACCCCTCAAACTCAGGGTAATCTTGGGTCTAAACTTTGTGAATTTTTATGTAGCAAAGTGAGCATCTTAAATTTGACCCAGAAAGCAAGTGGCACTCAATGAAGCAACCTCAGTGCAGAAAATATACTACTTCTCACAATTACAGCATCTTTTTTTTATTTGAATTATGTTTGAGTATCAGGTCTCAGCAGATATTTTAATAGAATGTATTGTTGCTTTATTTGTGTTCTAATTACTGATGCAGTGAAACAAGGCATAAACTTTCAAAGGAGAATAAAAGAAAATTTCTAAGAAAATTACTGCATTTAGAATGAGTAATTAATTCTAAAAGTAAAGTAACATCATTTATATAAACTCCTAACTCAGCATTTTCACTAATTACAAACTTTTAAATCCAAACTTGATTTCTTTAACTTAACCTCAGTTTCATCTGTTTGGAAAAAAACAGACAGCCACACAAACACTATCAAGTAATAAATATTCATCTAAGAATTCTACAAAGAATTGAACTTTTAAATAATTTAATTAAATTAACAATCCTTTATCCAGTGTTTAATAAGGTAAAACTTCCTACTCCCAAAAGTTATTTTAACAAGACTTTGGCAGATAATAAAAACACTCTTCGATAAAGCTTCCAGAATTATAAGTAGCATTGACAGTTATTAAAACTGTTATTATCCAAGCCCCAGAACAAAATGTCAAACTTTGCCAGCCTCATTTTGACACAAATACACAAGGCAATAAACGCTTTCCTACCTTGTATTTTTTCCCAGCCCTAGTACTGATACAATCCAAGAAATCTCTACTGCAAAGACTATGATTTGCCAGTGAACGATTTGTTCTTTTCAATTTTTTTTGCAAAAGCTCTATTTCAGTCTTCTGAGACATTACGAGGTATTTTAGCTCTGTTAAAGAATGCTGTTGGAATTCCTAGAAAATGGAAATACAATACCTTAGAATACTGTAGGTAAAATCAATATTTGGAGTAGCATTTGCAATGACATCATGTTTACATTTTAATTAAGTACATTTAAATAACAAAAGCCAGTTGTTTGTAGAAAAGGAGGTAGGAGTGAGACTGAAATGGAGGAAATAATTAGACCCATACTAATATGTCTATATGCTACATTCAAAGACAGGACTATGGATTTTTCTTTGTACTGTACCAATTAAAACCATGAGGCCTCTACTCACAACAGTTTGGATAGTTACCTCAGGTATTTTATTTATTTAATTTCATAGTCCTCTCTCTCTCTCTCTCTCTCTCTCTCTTTATATATATATATAAATATATATATATATGTATATAAAATTATGCTAATTATAAAACCTTGATATACATTTGTTATGTCTTACCTTTCCTTGTGATAGGCAGTCTGGTTCCCATATTTACCATGATTTAGGGCATATCATTTGTGCCTATCAGGCTCTCTGCCCATGTTAATTTTTTTTAAAAAAAGATTATCCTTTTAATTAAAACATCTACAAAAGAAGCTAATGGGCTGCACAACAATGTACCAGATCCCAGTACCCATTTTTTATTCCAACTATGTCCCTGGGACTTACTTTACAAAAAAAGAAAGGATGACCACAAGCCCCACACCACTTCAAAAGGTGACCAGACAAAAGATTTGGTGGAAAAAAAAATCATTCAAATGACTATAGGGCATAGAAGGAAGCAACTCCAACAATATGTCTTCTGCTAAGTGGAATGCTGGCAATGACCACATTGCGAATGAGAAAACTCATTTTGTGAGCAGCAACAATTTTGCAAGAGAGTATCTAATATGTTCAAAATGCCAGACCTGCTGATAGAGATTACTAATTCTGCCCCTGAGGCTAAAACATATGAAGAACAGTTGCAGGAACTGGGTTGCAGGAAAATGGGGGTGGGGAGGGGAGGGGAGAGGCGGAAGGTAGATCCATTTGATATGTTTGCCATCTTCAGTTGTTTATAAAAATAATAAAGGAGGGATATAAATAAAATAAAAAACATCACGGCTAGATGAGCTAATTTTATTTTTAAGGGTGCATTAACAGAATCTGGCAAATCTGAAGGTACAAATCTCCCATCGCCTTTTTAACCACCTGATCAGTCATGGTGGGTTTTAAGAAGCTAGTAGTTATATATAGCTTATATAGGGACCTGGGTAGATTTGAGACAACCTCATCTAGATAGAATCTGCCTGCCTAATACATACAATCAATATTGATTACTGAGTATACCCACCAATCAGAATGTACGACTGAACGAGGCACAGGAATGGTATTTCACTGTGGGAATTTACATTCTATGGAACAATTTGCACCCCAAGCTGTTATAATCCAGGTCGTGTAGGCATATGCAGGCTTTAATAAAGTCCTTTATTGCTTTTCTATCCCACCACAAATGGCTCTTTAACGGCCAGTAAACCTCCACCTCAAACTTTCTCAAAGTCAGCCAGCCACAGTCAGGGCAACAAGTCCCACAAACTAAAGCCAACAGTCACCAGAGCTGATTCACAAGGCTAGGAGGAAGTTTGTAGTCCAAAAGCAAGGTGCAAAGTCCTCAAGGCAAGATCCATAGTCCACAAGCAAGGTCAGAGTACATGGGGCAAAACACGATCTGAAGTAGAGTTTAAAGCCGGGGAAGTGCATCCCCAAGTCACTTTATTCCTGACAAAGACACCTCCACCCCCCCACCCCCCCGGTCTCTGATTAAATCAGTTCAAGTCAGATGTTTCTTGTGAGGAGGAACAGGGTGGCTTCCTTGCCAGCAGCCTCACAGAACTCCTTTGAGCTTCCCTCCACTCCACTCTTCATGCCCTTGGATCGGATGAGGAAGGAAGGTGTTCCACACCAGAGGGCATCTGCTGCCTTTCATACCACTGCCTGTCTGCTGCTGATCCTCCCCTGGGTTTGTGAGGGCAGGCAACTTTCCGTCCGGTTGACTACCTCCCCCAATGCCAGAGGATCCTGGGACAGCATTGTCCTGAGCCCTGGGCTCTCCAGACATTCCACGGGAGATGTGCCATCCCCATCGGATGCTCCTGATTGCAACTCCTCCTCCTCCTCCTCCAATCCGGGATCCGATGGGGCTACGGCACAAGCTGAATATTGTCTCACAGCATTCTGAAAACTTGTTAAGATCTGGTTATTTTTGAAGCCTTTTGGAGGTAGATTACTGTTGAGAACACTGCCATGAAAAGTTGGATTAGTATTTAGTAAGAGATAATTATTTTTATTGGTTCACTATATTATATATGTTGTTTTGACTGAAGAACAATTAGAAACTTATTCATTCGTTCGTTCGTTCGTTCATTCATTCGTTCATTCATTCACTCGTTCATTCAATTTATATAGTTTTCCATCTCAAACAAGTGACTCTGGACAGCAAACTATCTTAAAATCAATTAAATCAATTAAAACACAATAGAAAAGAAAAAGAAAAGACAAGAAAAATTAATATGTGTTCATTACACTTTATGGAAAACTGCATTTAAACTATCATATGTAAAAGAGATGCCTTCTTCCCATCAAAGAGAAACATAAGACAAATGCCACCCTACAGAAATAACTTTGTTGGTATGTAAACTACCCAGAAACACACTTGGATTGACTTTTTTAACCAATGGCTTTCAATTATAATTGTATTAATATCAGGTAACAGCATTTCAGATCCCCTATGGTTAATGCTCGTAGGGGCTGCCAAGCACTTTCTAGCTCTTTGTTCCAGATGGCTTTTGCCTTCTTCAGGAACTCCAACCTTTCTTTAGGATCAAATGCTTCATCCCAAAACAAGTGCTGACAGTAACTGCCAAGAAAGTGCTCCCTTAGCACAGTTTTCTGCTGGATTTCTCACTTCCACAAAACTGTTTAAAGAAAAGGATGTCAGGTTTATTGGACCGTTCCCTCTAATAGCACAGATCAAACCTATGATTTTTTTGTTGGCAGCTTCCAGTCACAGTTAAAATACATTCAGTTTTCCAACATTCCCTCTTGTCTCTCTTTACCAGTTTTGCCCCATTGCCATCTTGAAGAATGAAAGGAAGAACTTTTGAGATGGAACTTATCTGGATTCCTTGTATAGGAGGAACAACAGACAGATGGGGCTGTCTCAGTGCCAAGTTTGGTATACTGACTAAAGTGCTGACAAGCAACGAGGACATCTTCAGTACCAGTCCACCCATAGTAAGTGACTTTGGGTCAACCATTCTCAGCCCAACCCATTTGTTATTGTAAAGAAAATGGGAGGCAGGAGACTGAATATGTATGCCATCCTGAGTTCACCAAAAACAAAGGCAGAATAAAAATCTAATAAATAAACCAACAAATAAATACAGCATTTATGGGACATTCTTGCATATTTCCTTGCACAGTTCTATTCACAGTATTTCCATAAATTCTATCTGCTACCCACCAGTAGTTCTCAGAGGAAGGGAATAGATTTCCTAGGGGTGGGAGAGGGAAGTTGTTGTACAAGTAATGACTTAGCATATTGTGATCTTTCCTTGATGATACTTTCTGCCCTTGGCTGGATAAAACTCTGGCAGACCATATGGGGCTTAAATATTCAAACTGAAAGAGTGTCACTCAGCTTGTAATATTCAAATATAGTTCAAATTAGGCTCATCTTTTTTGGTGTGCCTTTGGTGTGACTTCCCCCAATTTTGTCTTTGGGGGAACTTCTTACTTGCTGGACAAGTTTGGCTCTATGTAAAAATATGCATTAACATTGACTTGGCACGTTGTCGCCTTTCCTTGTTGACACTTTTTAACCTTTGTACCGAGCTATTCAAATGGACAAAGCCAGGTTTCCCATCTTTTCTCTAATATAATTCCATCTCAGTCTTGGACTATTTCTATATAGTGTTTTAATATCCTATATGTCCCTCACAGGAGACTTCTTTTTAATTTTGACATGAATTGGCTGCGATCCATAAGAACAATAACTAACAGACCCCCATGTGAAAACTACGCTCATGCTCAGTTATAGAGGCTGAGTGTGCATCACATGTATTATTAAAATGCCCATTATATACCCAATGCTGATACAGTCCTAGTTGTCAGTAATTTTAATTACTTCTGTGATTATGAGATTACTGCTCTCCTTATGTGTTTCTTTTGTCAGAAACCTCTAAGAAGTTTGCAATTTTTTTATCAATAGTCATGGCTTCAAACCATTGTTTCAGGTTTTTTTAATTCTTTTCCTTTTATTCACTGTATATAAGGAGCTACAGGTGAAACTCAAAAAATTAGAATATCGTGCAAAAGTTCATTTATTTCAGTAATGCAACTTAAAAGGGGAAACTAATTTATTTATTTATTTATTTATTTGATTTGCCAATTGTTTACAAGATAATAAGTATAAATGTATACATAGTTGTGAATACATGAAATGGGTACATATAAGAAAAATAAAAGAATAAGAGAAACAATAGGACAGGGACGGTAGGCACGTTGGTGCGCTTATGCACGCCCCCTACAGACCTCTTAGGAAAGGGGTGAGGTCAATAGTAGACAGTCTAAGGTTAAAGTTTTTGGGGTTTGGGGAAGAAACTACAGAGTCGGGTAGAGTATTCCAGACATTGACCACTCTATTGCTGAAGTCGTATTTCCTGCAATCAAGTTTGGTGCGGTTTACTTTGAGTTTGTATCTATTGTGTGCTCTTGTGTTGTTATGGTTGAAGCTGAAGTATTCATTGACAGGTAGGACATTGCAATGTATGATTTTGTATACCATGCTTAAGTCAGACCGAAGACGGCGTAATTCAAGGTTTTCAAGTTCTAGAATTTCAAGTCTGGTGGCATAAGGTATTCTACAACGAGTAGAGGAGTGGAGAACTCTTCTTGTGAAATATTTCTGGACTTTCTCAATTGTGCTAATATCAGATACGTAGTGTGGGTTCCAGACTGATGAACTGTATTCGAGTATTGGTCTAGCAAATGTT